AATTTAAAGCCTTATTTGTAGTTTAGAGCTCAAAGATTTGCATCATTGAAATTTTAAGATAAGGTAAATCAAATTGGTAATTTTAAGAAAATTGCTACTGCTTCATTTACTCATTTCGAACTCTTTTTGGGGCTTCTTTTGCTTCTCATTTCCCTCTGAATTCTTTGATTATTTAATATATAATTAACTCTATTTGTGAATCACAGAATGTATCCAGGATTGCGTCGGTATTTAATATTCCATGGAAATACGATTCTAATTTTGTTTCGTTCGTAGATCTTTCATGGAATTATAGTTTTAAAAAAAATTGTTCGGAAAAATATTTTCATAAATTCTCTATAAATTTAGGAAATTTATAAAAATATTATTTTAATAATAATGATAAAAAAATATAATATAAAAAAAAGAAATAAAAAAAATGAAAGAAGCAAAGATGAAAGAAAAGATTTATAAAATTAAAGATTTAAAATAATAAAATAATAAACAATGAACGATGATGATGATAATTGCATCAATAATATTAATAGTAATAATAAAATTAGAGTAATAAAATTAATAATAATAATAAAAATAATAATAATGAATAAAGGTGCAGCAGTATTTGAATGGTAGTGCTATACGCTTTTAGATCGTTTTTCAAATGATCAGTGCCAGGATGTGTTTGTTTGGAGTATTGATGATGGTTGCTTCACTCTGACATGGTTATGTATTGAATCTATATTTTAAATAAGAGCAATCTAATCGTTTTCGTTATTTTTTTTATTATTAGAATTTTATTATAAAAAATATTTGCTAAATTAAACAATAAATAATTTTTTCTTTAAAAAATAATCTGATCTTTGAATTTTTCTTTCTTTCTAAATTATTATAATAATTATTATAATAAATTATTTATTTTAATACTTATTTCATTATAATTAATTTTTAGTTTTATTTTAAATCGCTTCGACTATAAAATCATGGATTCGGTGGATTCATTAATTGGAGTGAAGTCTGATGAGTAAGAATGAAATTCGGTCGGTGGTAAGGACTCATTTCCTCATCACTTCTAATCCTTATATTTTAACAATGAACTGTGGAACGATTTTTCGACCTATTATATAAATTCTAACTTAACAAAATAAAATTATTCCAAACATGAAATTTGGTAAAAATATTGTGTGCAACAATCGGCATCATATGCTTTTTAGAATTTGAATTTTCCCTATGAATTGTTTATTATTCAAGCTAAATGTTCAATTGGAGAATGGCAGGCAAATCGAGATACACATTAATATATACTATATTATGTTTTAGTGAAATATCGACGAAAAAAAAGAATGGCATGAATAGCCGATTTAGTTTCGAAATAATTGGTTGATTATTGCTAATGAATATTATTTTAGGGGAAAAACTCGTAGTTTTTTTTGATAAACCATCTTTTTTGCATATTATGGTACTTGCTTGATGAGTGATCGATTTTATGTATTCATTGTTCACTTATATTCCACAAAAACTTATTTATAAACTTATTAAAATTTAATTTTTTTGGCTCGCCAAAGATAATTTATGTGGATATAACTTGCTTAATAAAACGTAGCTGAGAGTTTTAAGAGTAAGGAAGTTTTTTTTTGAAATGCTATTTTTTTCTACAATTTTACTCGCCATTTTCGGAATGTTTGCATCAGTGATCCTCAAACTTTTTTCATGGGTCCCTTAGGCAATGCCATAAAAATCCATAGTCCCGAAGTGCAACATTTTCGATTTTTAGAATTTTCAAATATTTATTATTTATTGAATTTTTTCACTTAAGAGTTTTGAATGATTATAATGAACTGCATAAAATGACCATTCTAATAAAATATGTAATTCAAATAAGGCATGAGTGTCTATGAGCCCCAAGAGATCTGTAGATTCCGTTTGACGATCACTGGTTTTAATCCACTGATTGCTAGAGCGAACTCTATCATTAGACGATAATGCTTAATCGTTTATGCACCACTCGACCATTCTAACTTCTAAAAATAATTTTTATTTGTTTTTCTTTTTATTATTTTTAATTGAATAGTCTTTTAATTTTGTAAGTAAAAATTTCAACTGTTTTTTTTTAATTGTGATTTTTTTTCTAAGAGCGTTCACCATTTTTGATTAAACTAGATGCACTGGTATTTTGCCAGACACTCTTGGCGACAGATAGAAGTACAGGAACCACGATATAATAACGCGAAATCGATTCACATAGCATATTTATAATATGGAAGAACATGGAAAAATATTCGTGTTTCTTCAACATTAATATTTCACGATAGATTTTTGCAAATTTTTCGGAATAATTCGTTTTCAACGATTTAAAACATCTTTAACTGAAATTATTTCGGGTTAATTCAGTCAGTTGTATTTATTAACCACATTTGTGAAATTTTTAAAACATTTTTCCGTTCGATGTGCAAGAATTATTTCTTATAAAATCTATTATTATTATTTATTATATAATTATTATATATTCAACACTACTTATTATTTGTACTTTATTGCTTATTTTTATAGTATTTTTATAAAAACATAAAATACCGCTTTTAGATTGTAGATCATAATTTATTCATTTAGATCATAATTTTTGTCGATTTTCTATTCCCTTTTGATTGTTATCTTTTCTTTATCCTTAATTTTTGATACCTATTGATTCATTTTATTGAAAATATGCTATGCTTAACTTAAAATCGAAAACCCATATTCTTATTTTTTGCTATTGTTATTATGGTAAGTTTTAAATTGATTATTTTGTTAGGTCAAACTAATGACCAGCAATAGAGTGGTTCTTTTATCTAAAATAGGATAATCCATCATCAAATTATTCAAAATTGCATAAATTTTGGGCATTTTAATGAATTTTTAAGAAATCTCTGTTTCAAAATCTTTTTTTAATAAAAAATGGTAAAAAAATATTTCCATTTTTTAATTTTAAAAATTTTGCTCGGTTGTTTTATATTTTACATAGGAGTGAAATTATCGTATTATTTTATTATTTTTTTATTAATATTTTATTAAATTTTATTAAATTATTAACCACCACTTTTAAAACTGAAAAAATAGTATAATCTAATTTCTATTAATTTTGGAAGTTTTTAAAAATAAAAATGAAGCAGAAGATTTTTGAGAATTTAAATTAATAAATTCATTTCTTTAATTTCACAGTGCTTTTCTTTGCATTAATTTCTACTTCCACCAAATGACTGTTTATCCTTGTAATTAATGGAAACCAACACCCAACCAGAAATGATGAATATTATTAGAATGGGAAGAAAAAAGAAAACATGACCTAAATCTTTAAATGCCTTGTACTATGTACAAATTATAATCGTAATTGTGGGCAAATAGTTCAACTTGAAATAATACTATTTATATTTTATTGTTATGTCAGATGCTAAATTCATTCAAATATACATTATGTATAAATCGTTTATTATTTATATATTTCAGTTAATACCGTCGCGTTTTTCATATAGAAGTTTCATAAGTGTTTAAAAAAAAAATTTATATTATTGCGAAAAAACCGTCTGTCATCTTCTTCGGATAACTCTAATGAAGCAAACAAATTCAATAATACCTTAGGAGAAGAAGAAAACGAATGAAAAAGTTTTAAGTTCGCCAAATTCCTCGTTCTTTGTTATTAATCTTATTTATGACATCTATATTTATGATTACTTTTATTATTTATGTTATTTTTATTTTTCAATTTCAATTTTTTATTTTTATTTTTTCTAATTTTTATTTTGTTTTTATTTATTATAAGTCAATTATAAAAAATTAGGTATTAAGGATTTCACAGTAGTAAAAATACCATAAATTTCGAAAAATACGAATTAAATTGCGTTAGGATTTTTTTTTACTTCGATCCATTTTTAGTGTATTTTTTTATATTATATGTTTTTTATATTTCTTACTGAAATTGTTTAACATCAAATCGAATTTTTTGATTGTTCATTCGTTTAGTGAAAATATATCTGTTAAAAATGAGGGATATTTTTCAGGTTTTTTTTAAAAGATATGTTATACAAGAAGAACTTTCAATAATTTCGATTTGGCTTAATCGATTCATCATATTATCAATATCGCCATTATCATTAGCAGCATTACCGGTAGCATCTCACCAACTGTAACCATCTACAGTTTTTCAATTCGCTTAAATGTAAATGTTTTAAATAAATGTAGGGAAAAAAAATTTGTTAAAAATATTGAAGGCTGGAGATTGAAAAAAAGGAATCATTTTCTGGGTTTTTTTTTCAGTGGCTTAAAGGGATTGATGAATGAATATTGTGTATTGAAAAAATGGAATTATTATACCATTTGTGGCAATTCGTTTTTCCCGATTTGCTATTTTTTTTGCTAAATTTTTTTCCTTATACATATGTTCTTTTGAATATGAAATATATGGTTAATAATAATAATGAAAAATAATAATAATAATATTTTTTTATTTTTATTAGGTTACATTCATAAATGAATCATTACATAAACATAAATACTGGTTCGCTATAAATTAGTAATACTCAATTTCAGGTTAACTGCTGATGATTTGCAAGATTTAGCTTATGATTTATTATTTGTTGTTTCTTTCTCTTTAAATTTGTGGTGTTTAATTGATAATTTCAAATAGTCTTATCAGTAATTGTTAGAATGATGGGAATCATCTGTGTGAGATAAAAGGAAATTAATTTAGTTAAATTGGTGGTTCTCAAACTTTTTGGATCTCTGGGCTCATATCCACTATTAGAAATTATTGAAGACTCCCAAATTGTTTTACATTAATTGTTTTGAATTTTTCTATTGAAATTTACCGTACAATTTACTTTAGACTTAGGTTCAGTTTGCTTAGAAAAAAAAGGACGGAAGAAATTACAAAGGTAGTGACGCGCAAATGTCCTCAGATCATTCTTTGAAAACCACTAAGTTAACTATATGCTGAAAGAAAAGCATGGTAAATTAACATTACAGAAATTTTAATACTATATTTAATTTAGTATGGTTAAGACGATGAATATAGAAACTAAAAAAATGATTGAAAATGAGGCAGAATTGATCGAAGAAGAAGAACAAAAAGAATATGAGGAGGAAGAGGAAGAGGATGAGGATGAATTGAGTGAAATGATGAATATTAGTACAAATAATTCGATATCTCGTTCAACCATATCAAGCTCGACTCATATGCATGATGGAGAAACATTGAATCGCTTATCCGATGCTGATGAATTAATGATTAAATCAATATCAGAAACTGCTCATAACAATCGACCTCACAGCAGTTGGGAAACAAATAATTCTAGTTTCCCCATTGAACGACGTCATATCTGTGGTATTTGTGGAAAGGTCGTTTATTTTTTTTAGTTTTTTTAAGTTATTATTTTTTAGCTAAATTCACATTGAATTTCGACTAAAAATAGTTTTCTATCGAATGGTTGGTTCGATTTTTGTCTCTTAACGAGAATAAATTTATCACTAAATATGTACTTAACATGATTAATTGAATTAAAACTAAATGCAGTACTACATTTTGAACGAAAATTGTTTTTAAAAATTCACTACTCACTAAAATATGCAAAAAAATGAATTAAAAAAGTGGTATAAGAAATTATTGCTCAAAATTCAAATTCAATTTCAAATTCAAAGCAGATTTTCATTTTTTTAATAGAAAATTTTTAATTTTTAGAATTTTTTAATCGACGAAAAGAAATTTTATCCATCTTTTATATTTTTTTTTTTGAAAAGTTCTCACCATTACTGGTTAAACTCGCTCCACTGGTTTGTCGCAATTGAGCAATATGCCAGGGATTTCCTTGGCGATAGAAATACAGGTGAGTCGCCAGCATCACCCGGATTTTTGTGCAGGTTTACTCCTGCAAGATTCGAACCTCGGCATCGGCACTCCCAATTGAGCAACAACCCACTGAGCTATCCACAAAATTAAATTAAATTACGAAATAATGATTGAAATAAAATTTGAATGATGATAAAATGCAAAAAATTTTCAGGGTTTTCCATATCTTTCAATACTTGAATCACATAAACGATGCCATACGGGAGAAAAACCATTTAGTTGTCATTTTTGCGATAAAAAATTTGCTCAAAAGGCAACACTTCAAGTTCATGAGCGAACTCATACCGGCGAAAGGCCGTTAGCTTTTTATGCTTAAATTTAGTTTCTTTAAAAATTATAGTTTCTTTGAAAGTAATTTTTTTAAAAAATAATGTTTTAATTTTAATAAATTTGGTGCACATAATTTTTATTTCATATTTGCCATATTTTGTAGTGATTGTTGGTAGGAATTTTGGTATGATAATGAAATAATGAGTAGAATTGCCGGCTAATAAACGTTAAAATCAAAAAAAATTGGCTGTAATAAAATAAAAATATTTGATTAAAACCAAACATTTATCTTCTATCAGTTCTGTGCCCTTTGTTATTACCGTTAATTTTTTTCTCTGGGACCGTATATTTTCTGATTAGAATCATTCTACTTGCTTATCGAACCATAAAAGTTCCGCCAGAGATTCACTTTGCGATAGAAATGATGGATAATCAGCACCACCTGGTTTTTGAAAGACGTGTTTGTTCATGCCGGAAATGGCATCTCAACACTGGCGCCCCGACATAAACGCAGTAACCTACTGAGCCATTCCCTCGCCATCGGGCAGTAAAACAACAAGCGAATACTAATAATATTCACAAAATGCAATTTATAACCAATAGCACCTATCAATATTATTAATTATTATTCACATTAATGTTAATTTAGTTTTAATATTCCATTAATATTAATTATCATTTTCTAATTATTATCATCTATTATTGCCAATGATTTTTACTGTTATTACCATCGATTACTATGATAATCGACAATATTATCATTAATATTATTTTACAGTAATATTTATTAAGAAAGAATATCATCCCATTATAGCATAACAGCAACTATCACCGTTATCATTATCAATAATATTATCATATTTCCTCGGAAATACCACTGTTTCTTTTTCTTAAATTTATCATACAAAATGTGGAGAAAAGCGTGAGAATAAAAGTTTTTTATCAAAGCATTCTTAGTAGGAATATTTTATCGAAAATTTTTCGGAATTTAACAGAAATCCAAATTTTTCTTGAATCTTATGAATTATAAAAAAATTGAAGGGAAAGAAAAATTATTAAAATAATGCATTAAAATAATGATCAAAATATTTTATCAATTATGGAAAAATTTCACATATCAATTTCGATTTTGCCATATTATTCCTTCGATTAGATTTATCCATATATATTAGATTTTTTTCCAAAGAACAAATTTGGAACTTAAAATTTGAATTTGCTAAAGTTGAGTTGGGACAAGTGGTAATTAGACATAGGATGGATGCTCATTGAGTATTTTCATCAAATCGATGGAATATTTCCCATGAATCTCTGAAAAGAGAAGAATATGAACTCTACTAGCATAAATAAATATTCCACTCAACTAATTTGAAATAAAAAATTTGTATGTAGTCAAATCAAAAAATAAAAAATTTGAAAATAGAAGACTAAAATAATTATTAATAAAACTATTGAAAACAATTATAAATAAAAAATTAAAACAATTATTTTAATGAATGATTATCTTAGGAGAAGATTGTACAAAAGATAGATTTATTTGCTTTGCCTAAGTCTAATTTGTCTAATTTCTGTAAAACTGCTTCAGTGGCCAAAGTATTCCATTTTCTATACCAATAATGTTATAAAAATGAAAATTTAGATATAAATGCAAATATTGCGATAAAACATTTGCTCAATACGGAACGAAAACTGTTCACGAAAAAAGTGCCCATCTTGGTTTGCCTTTAATTCACTACTCTACTCATAGATAAATGGTTACAAGATCTCTCAAAAGAGTAATATAGAAAGGAATAATTCAAACAATTTTTAAAGTATCAATATCCAAATGCTTGATTTTCAAGCAGTTTCATCTTTTATTGAATTCTAGATATTTTGATTGCAAGAAATTTTAAATTTGTTTTTAAAATTTTTAATAAAATAAATCCAGTGAAACGAGATTTTTCTCGAGATTTTCTAAAAGTTTCACCGATCTTCGAAATTCGAAATTTCGATTAGCGAAAAATTTGCATAATATGTTTCTATGTTTCAAAAAATAAATTCAAAATAAAGTTTTATTATTAAATTCTGAATAAGTTGGAATTTTTTCAATTTATTCCAGGCATTCGCAATTATAAATGCCCGAAATGTAGTAAATGTCTTTCATCGCCATCAGCTTTATATACACATAAAAAAACGCACGGAGAGAAAAGCCTGCAATGTGAATTTTGTCCGAAAACTTTTACGCTAAAAAATTATTTGAAATTGCACGTGAAACAAGTTCACGAGCAAAACGATCGTAAACATCAATGCCGTTATTGCAATAAAAGTTTCGCTTATGCTGGTAGTTTGCAGGTTAATTTTGCTAAATTAGCTTGATCTTTGAATATATTTTCATAATCATTTTCTGAGTTTTCCAGGTTCATTTACGAACACATACCGGTGAAAGGCCCTATGTTTGCAAATATTGCCCAAAAGCATTTGCGAGCCAAGGTAATCTTCAAAGTCATGAGAGAACACATACGGGCGAAAGACCGTACTCTTGTACTCAGTGTGGTCGATCATTTATACAAAAATCGCAATTGACAGCACATGAAGCAACTCATCAATATCAATCTTCTGAGGTTTACTCTTTGATTAAACTAAAGTTAAACTGTTTCGATAAATTTTGCATATTTTCTAGTTTCATGCTTAGGAAAGTTGAAAATTTTGCAGTCATCTTCTGAAACAAATCAAAAGAAATCGAATGAATACATTTGCAAATTTTGCGGGAAGCGTTATGCTTATGCTTCGTCGCTTTATGTGCATACAAGGTTGCACACTGGAGAACGGCCTTTTAGGTATCATTTTTTAAAAGTTTGCCAACTTTTTTTCTGTATTTATCACGACTCTCTTCATTGCTTATTTAAAAAAACGAAGACGAGATGAAATGAATTCCTTGATTTTATGAAGTTTTATTTAAATTCATTTGAATTTATCAGGTAGGCTTAAGCCAATGCTATGAGCATAATTAAACATTTTTGAGATGCAGTTTTTGTGACAAAGCATTTACGAATCAAGGAAATATGCAGGTGCATCAGCGTGTGCATACTGGAGAAAAACCGTACGTCCCTTTCGCTATATATATATATAAGATTTTTAGAAAAAAATTTATATTATTTCTTTTATTATTTATTTTGTAAACATTATTTAAACATATAAATAAAATTTTATTTTGCAAATATATATATATATATATATGTATATATTTTTATTTTTTTGCACAAATTTTCTAAATTTTTTTACTTAAAATATCATTCGATCATTTAAATAATTTTTTATACCTTCGGTCACCATTTTTTTCAAAAAAAAAGTAATTGGTTAAGTAAAAATAAGCATTTAATTATGAATAAAATTTATATTATGTTCTTTTCAGATATAAATGTAACGCCTGTGATAAAAGTTATGCTCAGAAAGTTGGTCTAAAAATACATATGGAACAATGTTCACAATATTTAAATGGACGACTTCTCAGTCCTGAAAAAGAATCGGAAAGTGCGTCTTCGATTGATACGATTCTACCTCAACTTTTAGGTGAATTTTTTAAAGCATATTAATGGAGGTGGGATGAAAGTGCTATGAGCCCAACAAGGTAAATAAACTTCTGCTGGTTTACCAGGTTTCCGTTTCGAATGACTTTGAATTTTAAAAAATAAGTTGCTTTTCTAAATAAATATTTCAAAATGAATTTCAAAATTTTATATTGATTTTAGTAAATTATTCATACAAATAATTTTGGCAAAATATTCGGAATTTTTGAAATTTATATCGGATTTTAGGCATTTCAAATCAAGGTATTGTTATGTCGCCGCTTCAATATTCGAGTGCGAATCCCGTTTGTTCTGCTGCAGAAATGAATGGCTCCTCAGTTGGTATTAAACTGCCCACGATTCCTGCAAAATTATCATATTCATCTCCTTTGATTTCAAGCGGTAGCTCACAGAATGAATATAATTGCCAAATTTCGGAAATTGAACCGCAGAAAACATCGAATGCCGACGAAAAAGTTTTGGTACCATCGAAATCGATTGGGCAATTAAACGATTTAAATTTTTCTGCATTTCGTGGAATTACGCCTGATCCATTCAAGAATGCAATGTTCGATATGAATGACCCACAGTTATTATTATTTAAACGAATTATAGACAGTGGATTATCGGCAACGATGATATCACAACAAATTCTCGTTCATAATCAACAACTTCAATTTTTACTACATTCGATGAAGTCATCTGAACCATGGCGTAATCTTTTATCGCAACAAGCGCCGTTTATACCCGCTTTCCCTACACCAATTCCAGGTGCGATCATTTCTAACGCATCGCCAACAGGAGTTCTACAAAATGGGTTCACCTCTCCATCCGTTAAGCAAGAATCACCTATGTTTGTTTGAAAGATCAACCACCACTCATTAAAATTTTCGCACCTCGCCATCATTTAACATGCTGTGTTATATATTATAAATTTTTGCTTTCTTAAATTTATAGTAAAATACTACTTAATTTTCTTTTATTACTTAATTTTTTCTGTAGTTTTTTCTTTCTTTATACTGTATTATTTATTGCCAATTTTAGTAACCTATTGTCTAATTTTACTTAAGTAACTTTCTGAAAAACAAGATAAAACGGGCTTATAATGTACAGCATTAAATTCCATTGCAGAAAAAATTTAGACCATTCACTAACTTTTCTTTTAAATTCATTATTTTGGGCAATAAAATTTGTAAAAATTATATTAATAAATGACAAATTCAGTATTGTATCATATGCCTCATGAAAATAATTTGTACTATATATTTTTTTTAAGAAATATTTTTCAATTAATCTTTTGATTAGCCTTAATCATAGGTAATTAATGAGGAGAGAATTTCACCTGAATTGTGTTCAGCATGATTCTTTTTCAAGACGGGTCTATTTCCACCAGTGGCAAACTTAGAACGAGTGATGATTAAAGTGGTAATCCATGCAATACCGACTTCAGTTGAAATCCTTCATTTTGACTAATTTCTCTCTGCGCCACGAGAAACAAGTTTTGAAAAAAGAAAACTGATAGTAAAGTAATTAAAAAATAAAAAATGAAAGACTGTCAAAGAGAAATTGGCTGAATGATAATTAAAAATATACATGTTTTTATACGTGAAAACCCGTTATTTAAAAAAATATTATCTAAAAAAATTATTGCAGTGTCCAACTTAATTTTAATTTTTAATTTTACCGGTTATAAAAGTCGTAAACGAGTCGAGAAACGAGTCATACATTTTTAACAATGCGTATTTTTTTAGTATAAAATTTTTTTTTTAAATTTTTTTAATTTTTTGAAATTTTCCTTTTTTGAATTTTGTTTTTATAGAACAAAAGATTTTGTTTGGGAAGTCATTTCTGCTTTTTTTTTATTTAAAAGTAATTCTTTTGTCACGTAACAATAACTTTTATATAGTAATATTATATAAAGCTAGCTCTATGCACATATGCAAGTATATAGGTCGGGCTTCTCGCGAAGCTAGGCTAGCTGTTTCCTCTTCTCATTCACTAAATCGTTGTCTTTCGATTATTTTTGTTATTATGCTTGCTTAAACGATTCGCATTATATAAATATCTTTTGAGAATCGTTTTTTTATTTTCGTATTTGATATTAAATAGAAAAAAAACCAAATTCAACATATATTTGTGCGTTTCATCCAGAATATTTTTAGAAAAACTTCAGAATAATAAGGAAATTTAGCATGAGCTCATACTTTTCTCTTGGCTGGCATAAAATTATTGAAATTAGAATTCGGGTAACCAATGGGGATTTAATCTTTTGCACCCCTCACCATCCATATTCTACTTTTAGATCCTAGCGATAATTTAATTTAAAAACAACTTTTAATAAATAGCAATTTAATAAGTAGTAGTAGTGATTAATCTAAAACTGCAAAAAATTTGGTTAGAAAAGAAATTAGCAAAAAAATTAAATTGAAATTAAACCAATTAAGAAAGTTGATTTTATTTGGTGGAAAAAATTTGAATGGGTGAAAGGTTAAATAAAATCTCCATAGAGAACGTCGTTCGCTACAATAATTTTTTCGTGATTCAAATTTCTATCTATTTTAGTTTAATTTAATTAAATAAATAATTATATATTTAATGCGTTTAAACATGCTCAATAAATTGGAAATAAAATTCAAAAATTATTAGCAAAAAAGGCAATGAAGAGAAAAGTGTACAAAATGCAATTCGAACAAATATTCAGCGAATCTAAAAACGGAATAAGGAAATTATCAATTTAACTGTGACGAAAAGAAAAATGAAGGTAGAAAAAAATATGGAAGAAGACAAATGAAGAAGAAATCCCTCATAATAATTGCGCATTGCAAATCAGGAATGAGGTCATAGGATGGGCGATACGCAAATCACGATATGCTCATATAGTTGATCATCTTAGTTAAAAATCACTTATGGGTTTAAACCTTCCTTCATCCTTATGATATTTTTAATCGCTATTATACTTCATTACAGAACCGAAGGTAGTTTTTTATTATCATTTGTTATCAATACTTTGATTAATGAAATAACTGTTGTACTTAAAAATTTCCAAAAATTAAAAAATTTTTTTCATGTAGGAATCCAAATTTGCCAAAAACCATAAACTCTTTCCATTCGATATTGAATTACCATTTTTATTGAGAGTTTTCAAATTTTTAATACCACAGATTTGAAAAAACTTGTCAGACCGAATTTTTTTCGTAAGTTTGAGCGAGGAAAAATTCTCCAATTCTTTCAATTCTTTTTATTCTTTTTTAGTATAATTTTATTATCAATATAATTATAGTTATTATTTTTTATTTTTATTATGACATTTTGTGCTATCTAGGGCATCAATGTAACTCACAATATTTGACAACGTATACACGTTCGGAAGGATATACATCTGACGAAGAAGCAAGAACAGTTTTTGAAGGAATTACTTTAAGTCAATGCGCTGATCGCTGTAAAGCTTTTAGCGAGGTATGCCAGAATTCTTCGTTTCTAGCGTTCGACATTTCTGGTTAAAATGGCTCGTTTAGTTGGCTGAACCTTGTATGATTAGAAATTTTTGCCAGAAAGTCATTTGGCAATAAAAATATAGATAAATCGTCAACATCACTCGGATTTTCTTTAATAGTTTGTTTCATGGAAATTACGGAATTCTTGCTTTCTTCGGTGACATTCACTATTCACTATTAAGTCGGGTTTTATCGTGTTTTTAAATTCCCAAATAAGAATTATAGGAATAAGAAAAGAAAAATGAAAGGTAAGAGGTAAAAAAATAAATAATCATCAATTTTTGTTATTATTTTACTTGTTGTTAATAAAACAAGCACATGACGTTTGCCCTACTTGGCTGATTTTCGATAAATTCATGGGAATCTATATGGTGAACAATGTTTCGTTCAAAAATATCAATTTTAAAATTAAAATATTAATTTTATGCGACATTTATAAGATGGAATAGTTGTCACAGGTGAATACTGGTAATATAATATTATAATATTCCTCATCTATACGAATCTATTATTATTTATTAATTATAGATTTGCCGATTTTCAGTGTCAATCATTTGATTATGACTCGTCAAGTTTGTTATGCGAATTAAAAACTAAAAGTGCCGAGCCGCTCGGATCATCAAAGTTACTTTATACCAATAGAGCTACCACAGCATTTTTTCAGAAATTATGCCTAACAAGTAATAATTCAATGCAGTTGTTTTTTCCCCTTTATCAAATATGCATGAATGAAATGGCTGAATAAAACAGAAATTAAACTTTTTTAAAATAATAAATTTTTTTCAGCGTCATTTCGATGCCCCTCTCCATTTTTATTCGAACGTTTTCCGCAACATATCCTCGTTGGGAATGCATTTGAGGTAAATTATACGAAAAAATTATCCATTATCCAATGAACTAAATTTATGGATATCGCGTTTAGGATTTCTTCTTTATTGTTACATTTCAAAAAATAGTTAAAAAGAAATAAAAAAATACCAACTCAAATTAAGCGTGAACAAAAAGAAATTCAATAAAATTTTTTTTTGTTGGTTAGGAATTACTAAAGACAAACGATGTTGGCAAATCTTTTTTATTTTATCCTCAAAACCATTTTAAGCCATTTTATAGGGGAGAGCTTCAGTTCAGTAGTCAGTGGGTGTAGCCAAGTCAGAAATGGTGAGTTGCCAACATATAGGGTGACTGATTAAAGGCACAATGAAAAAATAAGATTATAAAAATATTAGGAATCGATGGGGATTTACAATTTCACATAAAATTTATCTGAATACAGTGATTATTTGAGTAGTGATTGAGTTCTTTTTGTTCATCCTTTCGATAAAACCAACCACAAGTGCCAACATCTTTGGTCTATAGTAAAAACACAGCTAGTCTCTCCTAGTCTCTCCTAAATGTTCAGTGAAGGCAAAGAAAAATTTATTCTTGCCTATGTTTGGACTGATGATAAGGATGATAAGAAATTATGATAAACACAGTGATAAATGAATAAATGTTTAGGTTATTGTTAACATTTCATTGACCGAATGTTTATCGTTCTGTTTTCAAGGCAAAAATGCATTGCAAATCGACTGCAGGTTGCTATTTTCGAAGCTAATTTTTATGGAATTGGCTTTGTCATTTCTAACTTGCAATATTTTAACAGTCTTTAATCGTATTATGCGTTTGACCTAAACCATTTTGATTATTCATACTGACTAGTTCAGGTTTCCCATTGTTTTCATTGCAATTTTTTTCAAGATTTTGTGAAATTTTGACGAGGAAAAATTGATCTTAGGTTTAAAGAAAAATCTTGTTTTCTATTTAAGATCTGTGATGTTCTTTTATCAAACACACGAATGTATATTGAACCATGACAGCCGAATTATCAGTCCTCATCTGTTTAGCAATGAAACTACTGGAAAAATTGTCGACTATTTTGACAATATTTGTTTTGATGGTTATTATTATTATTAAAAGATTTCTTTACAGCTTTTCATTTAAAAAAAAAAGATTTATGGTGTCGATAAAAAATAAAAGTGGCACTCGCAATTTTTGGTTAAATCCGTTAATGCATTAGCTTTTCTTCGAAATTTTTGTCAGCGAGTCACTTGACGATGGAAAAGCAAATGAGTCGCTACTTCTACTCGAATTTTTAATGTCAGCAGCTTTAATATACTAGAGGCAAGCGCTCGAACCCCTCAACTCTCCTCTCAACACCATAATCCGATCTCAATAAATAAATTCTTCATTATATATTTTGCACATCTCATAGTTCTATGGGAATCACTGAATTATAGTCACCATTTAAAATCATGGAATTTTGCAGAAATTTAAGAATAGGTTACGATAGAAAAATTTCTTTAATTCAGTGATATGCAGCAACAATTATTCTTTAAATTGGATTCAAGTGCCGGAATTTTCAATCGATGTTCGACGCGATTTATTAATTGAAGGGATCAGCAAAGAGCAATGCCAAGATTACTGTATTGTAAGTAATTTTTAGAAAAATTTGTCTGTTCTACTCTATATTATCAATTTTATCACTTTACCAATCTTTTTTTCTAAATTACTGGGAATAAGAAAAGTCGAAGATCCACTAATCAGTTATAATATTACTTTTGGGCAATTTATCTTTTCGGCCATATAAATTTATGCATTTATAATATTTTATAAATTTATGCATTTCCCTATATTTAAAACGTATCATAAAAGAATCCTTTATTTATATTAATAATGAATAGAGACTAATTATATGTTCCTCACTAATTATCGATATTTATTTTGCATGATCAGTGGACAAATCATTTCGTATTTTAGCCGATTAGACAAAAAGATCAGAATTAATTTGAAAGCTTAGAATATACAAAAAACAGGATTTGTTCAGAAAAATGCAATCGATGGCGAAAAATTTCCATGTAAGGTGTTTGCATTCAGTGATAAATCGATGAAATGCCATTTAACTTCGGAATCTAGTTCCTTATTACTAGCAACAACAAATATTAGTCGGTTAAATCAAGCTGAAAATGAATTCAGTTTTTATGAAAAAATTTGTCTCGAAGGTTGGTAAAATTATTTATTCTAAATTATATTTAGATATTCAAATATTTATTAGATATTTAAAATTTTTACTTATATTGTAATTACTAAATATTGAAAATATTAATTATATCTTGCGTATTGTGTATTTTATTTTAAAAATTTCAATATTATAACGATTTAAATCGAACGATAACGAAAGAGTCAACATCGAAGATTTTTTATATTTTATTATCGAATATGAGTTTTTTTTCCTGTTAATTTCAAGTATTTTTAGTTTTTTCCTTGAATTCGTCAAATTCATTATTCAGCGAAATTTCATTTCAGATATTGTTTTTGAAAAAAATTCTCATCCCAATATAAAAATTCAGAAGAAGGAAGGCAATGCGGTTAGGTTTACCTGAAATTATTACATGGGCAAATTATTTTTAGGTAATAAATTTGCAGGGCCACCGTTATGCAATGATCTCAGTTTTGGCTATATTATGCATTATGCTTTAGTAAATACAACTGATCGGGTATGTTTCTAATCCACTTGGAAAAAGTTTAACGAAACATTGAATTCTGGAGGACTCTTGTTTTAAATCTAAATTTAAATTCTGTATTGATTTATTAAATAATTCGTTATTGATTTATTAAATAATTTTTATCATAATAGATTTTTAGATGGTGAAAATATGATTTTCAGATGATTTCAACATCGAGTCTTTCAAAATGCTTACAAACATGCCTTCAAATTGGAAAACAATGTTTGACAGCCATGTTTTTAAAAGATGAAGTATTAAAAGAATTTAATTTTTAAATTCTTTTTTTGATGAAATTTTAACTATCCAAAATGCATGAAACCACCTCTTCATAAATGAAAAACCCTCTCAAGCCTTCTTGATTTAAACTTTCGTTTCGTTATCATCGTCCATCATCATAAATGAAACTATAAATATTCGCAAGATTTAAAAATTAAAATAAAAATAAAATTTAAAAATAAGATTTATGTTAATATAATAAGATTAAAAATAATAAGATTTTAATTGAAACTGTGGCTAGAAATTATTTAAAAAATATAAAAATTGGTGATAAGTCTTATATATTTTTTCAGGATAGGTGCATATTGTCTAACAAATCAAGATTCTCACATCCAGATTTATTTCGTTTTTCACCAAAGGTTATTTCTTAAAATTGTGTCTAGAATATTCCTACAGCGAACTGAGGTCTGCGTATATCTTGGAATAATGTATACTTTATGCATATTGTCATTTTTTGTATAGAAATACAGATTTTTATTTATCAGTCATAAGAATTTCCTTATAATTTTCCTTAAGTTTAAATATTTCTTGAGACAGAATCTATAATTTTCATGTTATACTCGAAACGAATTCTTGTTATATAAAAAACTAGGTCTAGAATTTAAGGTAGATCGTTTGTTACATAACTGCTTATGGAAAAGACGAGTTTAAAAATCTTTAATACTCAGTTGAGAAGAATAAAAGTGGGTCATTAGCTGATTTTTTATGAAATGCAATTATGTTATGAAGTTTAGGTTCAATATTTCAACAATATGTGCGAATTCACTTCAAATACACAAATGCTTTTCGACGATAACAAATTCATTGATAATCGCTCATTATCACAATTTATTGCTCAACATGACCAGCAATCTGACTTAACACACAAACTTTATAGATTTAAAAATGCTTTTCATCAACTTCCAGAATCATCCAATCCATTAGTTAGAGGGCTGAAGAAGAATCTGGTGAATGAAGCACTTTTTAATTTGAGCCCTCACTTCGATCCTGCTAACTCACGAATCGTTGTTGAGCATAATTTGGCATTTGCCAACAATGGGTCGGAGACCTCTGAAGGGAGTAAGAAATTCATTCATTTCATAGAAATTCATTTCTAGCAAATATCTATAATTTGGCTACGGTAAAAATTATCAATCTCATTGGCGAAAACGCCTATGACATCGTTAAATTATGAAAACAAGCTTTTTGCTTCATTTTACTTGTTTTTTTGCCATTGCCAAATTAAAATTATGAGCTTTCATAATCGAATTGTAAGATAACTTTTATTATACTTCTACCAAAGTAAACCAAATTGAAAATGACCGATGGAGAATCGGAAAAAATGCAAAAATTATGTGTCAATGGAGAAAAGGTATTCGTATATTTGGAATAACTGTTTGTCCTTTTACAGGAATCGAAAGTGAGTGTGGCTTGGAAAAGATTTCGATAAGTTCGCATTTTCCCAAATCTACGTCAGGCGCGATTTTTATTAAAGATCATTTTGATACATGTAGATTGGAATTTTATCAAGAAACAGTAGCAAAACTTGAGATAACTATGCCAACATTACGACTGAATAATCCGCCTTGTCCAGGCCGAGAAATTGTGAGCTTTTAACTTTTCAAATAAAATAGATTAAATCATTTAAAGCCTATTTCGACATTTTTTGCTCTGTTTGTGCTTTTTATCATAGGTCAGAATAAAATTTCCTCCTTTAATATCGAATTACTTGAAGTTCCTAAGAGTGAAGTAAAGTTACTAAAATATATCTAAATAAGCGAAAAATTCAAAAGAATAGAATGAAACAAGATATGATTATGCCATAATTTTAGAAAATTTAATTATTTAGTAATTTCAGGCTCCATTCGTTTGGTCATTTGTGGTTGTAGTGCAGGTAAACAATTTGGGTATTCCAGAACTGATAACAACGAATGACCGAGTATTCAATATTTCTTGTGATTTTTCCCGCATATTTTTCGAGAATGATCAGTTAAGAATTAGTTTTTTTTCTTTTTTCATACTATAAAATATATTATATACTATACTATACTATATACTATAAACATACTGTAAAGTTCCTGTCGACAAAATTAAACTGAGTTGACAAATATTATATCGTTTTACGCCACAATTCTCGGGATTTATTTCATCTTTTATGTTATCTAAATGAATTAACTATTTTCGACTAGTTTATTGTAATTAGAATTTAATTTCATGTTAGATTAGCCTAAAATTCGTTAAAAACCTGTTATTTGCAGTATCAAAGACAAGATAGAAGAATTTAGCGGAAATATTGCTCACGACCAAATTCGATTAGCTATTTTGCGCAATGGTAAACCAGTTAGTACGGTGCTTATGGGCGAAGAGCTTGAGATGAGATGGACGATGCTCGGAGATAAAAAAGAACATGTTGGCTTCTTTATAAATAATTGTACAGCAGAACGGCTCGATGGTTTATCACCACATCCAACTCTTTTGACTTTAATCGCTAATGGGTAAAACTTTAACCACCATTATATGACTGATTAAAAATAGTATGACTATGATGATAGGTGATAATGGTTCTCATCGTAATTAATTGGTTTCAAGATTTATATATATATATTTTCAACTAGATCTTTGATTTATCAGAAACTCTGGTGAAATCATCGTAGAATCGCCATAAATTCAACACTAGAACTAATTTTTACATTTCTTGCAGGTCATGCAATATTTAATATACTTAATTCTATAAGGCTACGAAACACGTACATTAATAATGGGATATATTATAAACTATCGACTTTAAGTCATATTCCACCTATCTACCTATTGAGTTAATCGATTCTCACATAACTGCACCTACTTTCTCTATTTGCCGAGTATCTCTAGAGTCTTTAGAACAACTTTTTTTCGCTACCCATCGTAGGAATTAACGAATTAGCAAGCAATAAAAGTAACCAAAAGTATAAAGGAAGTCTAAAGGCATGGATTGGCATATTTATGAGAGATTAGCACATTTATTGCGAATACAGACATTCTCAGTTTTTTTGGCAAATTAGTAAAATTGAGCTGAATTGTTTGGCCAATTTGTTGACTGTACTTTCAGATGTATTATGGAAAAAGTTAAAAAAACCTTGATGCCATATCCATTAATTAAGACTGATGATGGCTATAGTACGGTTATGCGAATATTTCGATTTGATGGGTCACGGCGAGTTCGAATCAGATGTTCAATCGACATTTGTGCTCATCAATGCTCTCCGGTTGATTTCTTTATATTTCTTGTGAAATTTTGGAAACAACGATATTATTTAATTATTATTATTAATTATTAAAAATCTAGATTTAAATTCCATACGATTAATATCGTTATTTTGGAACTTTTTAAGGCCAACTGCGCGTCAAATGATAGTGAAAGATTGAATATAATTAAAAGACAATTGTTATCGAAAATTATATATGCGCAAACAAATGGCAAAATGGTAATATTTTAGAAAATTCCTCTATTAGTTCCAACATTATTGGTTAATAGCAAAGCGTAATTGCGATTTTTTTTGCGGAAATGAAATTTTTATTTTTCAAGCATTGTTGGTACTTGTTTGGTTGTTTATAGGAAAGAGGTGAACGACTGGAGCAGAAAGCAATAACTGGCACTCTTACGATTGTTGATGCTGAAGAAGATAAACGACAACTAATCCAGCAAATAACAAAGAAGAGACTTCTCAAACTACGCAATACTAATCGTAAGATTACATTCATTTGAGCGAATAAATCTTTATTCTTCAATGGTCCATAACCTCAAATTCCATTTTTAATGACATCCTCGCGCACGTCCTTCGAATCAATGCTTTTTGCTGCAAATTAGGGCGCAGAGAAAACTTTGTCGACCTACTCCTGCCCTCAGTTCCCCGTCAATTCTCCCTCTCATCGGTCTTTGCACCTTGTTCAACGAATATAGTAACAAATTATCCATGATTAACTGTGGTATGTTTAAACCTAAACTTAAATAATTTTATCGTACATTATGGTGCTAAACTTTAGATTTCAGAGGAAATGATAAATGACATTTCATTGAAAATGGAAAGTAAACTGAAACCAAATCAAATCTGCTTAGTTCATTCACAGATTATAATTACCGCAAGCATATTTGTAATATTATCATTGATACAAATACTTGTATGTTTTCGAACCACCCGTTCTTGGCTTTGTAATTCTCTTTCAGAAGGTTCAGTTCAATTCTTTATTATAAATTTCCTATAAATTACTATAGAATTACAATAATTCAAGCACAGCATTTGGTCAATTTTTGTTCATTTCTTTTAAATAAATAGCTTAAATATGAGTAAAAAGAGTAATAAGTCCTTAAATGCCTTCCGGTTAATGGTGTCAAAAGCAAGGAGTACCAGCAACCAAAATGGACAGCCAGAATAGATTTGAACGCATTTTGAAGAATGCGTTAAATGCGTCAGCTCAATTTAGACATGAAAAAAGGAGTGGCTTTTACTTTCAGGCATGACTATAGATGTCGGATCTAGCGGATTGGAAACGTCGTAACTTTATAGCCAGCTGATCCAGTCTAATTAGTAATGATCTAATCGAGCTAATAGAAAAAGAATGAATTTAATTATTGTCAAAAACCAAAACGAATTGAGTAGAGCCTGAGTCGGTCATTTGCTCGACTACTCGTTGTTAAGTAAAGCGACTTGCCATTAATTATTATATGAATATTTAGCACGCTTCGATAAAAATGGAAGATCTGGCAAGTACAATCGAGAACGCCTACCAAATGCAAAAAAATCAGGGAATCAGTCGAGTTATGCCGACTTAACATCGCCTACGTAAATTCTTACCGTTATTGCATTATATCGAATCGAAAATATATTGAAATGAATTTTTTTGGTTTTAAATTGTAACTGCGTTATAATCGTCTTCAAATCTTTGAATCGTACCAGGACTTTGATAATTTAACAAAAAATTTTTTGTTTATCACATGCAAAATTCAGAATTAATTAAGCCGTTATGCATTCCTGCAATGAGAAAATGACAGATAGTCGTTAATTTCAGTCGTCTTTATGTTTCATATTTCCTATCGCTTGCTTATGGCGTTCCAACTTTATCCAACTTTTTTAAATCCTTTTTTTCAAGTTTTTAGTCGTTCTTTTCTATTTTTGCTAATTTGTCAATAAAATTTATCTCCAATACATTTAATAAATTATTATCACAGCGCTTCTCACCGATTGAAAATTTTCATTTTAGTTCGTTTCTATTTTTTCTATATTCCTGCAATGAGAAAATGACAATCTACAAGTGACATAATTTTTTTAATATTGTTCGCATATAAGATATTTTTTGAGAAAATAGTTTTTTTAGAGGATCCAACACTTCGGGCTAGGTTCATTCCGCTGACTTGTCCGATCAGACAAGTTTGCCAGATATCCACTTAGAGATGGAATTGAAGAATCGCCCGTTTCCAGATTTTTGAAAGTCAGATCTATTCTCGCTGAGATTAGAATTCCAGTTTTGGCGTTAGGAAATGAGAGCATCAACTCACTGAGCCACTCTTGAAAGATGTGCAAATTTTTGTTCTTTTTTATTTGATTTATTTTCAGATTTAATAATGGAAAAGTGGAACCGCAAAAGCAAAATGTTTGCATACACAAATATTTCGTATAATTTTGTTTTGCATAATACCAAATCTGTTTTCTTAAATAAAAAATTATATAAATTGTATAAACGAATAAAATTTTTCACAATAAAACGTCGATAAATAAAATGATATTCGTTTGCAAAAATTTCATTATTTTTGAAAAATTTATAAAATTTTCAAAAAACGCCGATAAAATAGAAAAGTTGGAAAAATAAATGACAAATGATAAGAGAACAATAAATATACCGTGAAATTAAAGCTTTTTGATGCAAATCATTAAAACTACCATCGTTTGCGTAGAAAAAAATATTTCAAGAATAAAATATATATAAGATAAAGACTTAAGATTATAAGAAACGTTTAACCAGGTAATAGTTTTTATTAATAATGATCTTTCAAATACATATAAAGTGAACGATCTTTTATCAATTCATATCATTAGAAAAATATCTTCTCCTTTATCATATCATTCTCCATTGAAAAAAATGAGTTTCGCGGAACGAGGAGAATAAAATTTTTTAATATTTAAGCATTTGTAATGCTTCAATTTAGATAATACTTAGGTAGATAAAAAATTGTTTGGCAGTTAATATCAGTTATTTTCAATAAAATTAATTGTTATGTGATATGAGTGATTTTTTCTGAAATTTTATTCTTATAGAAGAAATTAATATTAAATTAAAAATAAAAAAAACTTTTTTACGCGAAAAAATTTGAAAATGATTTTATTTTTGGACAAAGTTTATTGGAATAATAACAACTAAAATGGTTTATAGCAGTCACAGTTTCTGGCTACGCATTCCACTAGGTACCATTTAATTTGGTGAGAAGTTCTCGCAGGAGCGTATCTTCAGGGCGAAAAATGTAAATATTTGGGGAAAAGTCTCCCAACATCTGCATTTTTTAATAAAATTTGGAAGATGTTAATTTAATGGAATTTTAATGACTGCTCATAATCAAAATGATATTAACACTTATAACAGTTATAGTTACAAATCTACTTAATGAGGAATATCTTAGATACCTTATCAGCTTATCGCTAAATGAAAGAAGCACAAAGTTGAAGTTTTTTCTGATAAAAGAGGTGATAATAAAATAATGGTTGAAAATCCACCCTATATATCTTATCCGAAGTTTATTTATTCTATACCTAACATCTTAAATATTAATCTGGAAAAAAACTTCGCTAAAAATCATTGAAAATCAATTTTCAAAAAAATTTTTAACATTTTAAAATTGAATTAAGAAGAATTCATTGAAAATTGCTTGCTAATTATGACAAATATCATCTTTCTGCATTCATTTAATTTTCTATTTTTAAGAAAAAATTACCAAAAAATTATTCAATGAATGCAATCATTAAAGAATGAATGTATGGAATAGTTAAAAAAATTAAAATTTTGGACAAATAATTTCGATTTATTTAGTAAGAAAAAATTCATACAATTTATCGGGGTGGGGAAAAATTTTGTTGCCATATACGAAAATTTGTTGGTTTTTACCCATTGCCGAGGAGCTTTTGTTGAATGAGAATCTTTTATTGAACGCGGATGTTTTGCTGGTGGAAAATTTTCATCAATTTTCCGAATTTATAGTTCGTGGAAAATAATTTATGTACCATTACATAATTAGAATTTTGTTCAGCGAAGAAAACAAAGAATGTGGAACGATTGATGGAAAACGTGGAAAATAAATGATGATTGGGAAAAAAAGCAAATGGCAAAAATAAATGAAAAATAAATAACAATGTAAGGGAACGACCTGGCAGGTGAAGTTTCGACTATACTAAAGAATGACCTGGTAGGGTCGAATTCGAAAAAAATAATCTAAAAAGATAAGTTGGGATGGTGGAATTTTAAATTTGAGCAAATTTATTTGATTTCGATTTTCGTTTTTTTGTTTTTTTTAGGCTTTTACACTTTTGTGTTACTATAGTGAGCCTTCAACGAATAGATTTCGAGAGAGTATAAAAAAATTTGTCGAAAAGATTTTCAGATAGAATTTTTAGTTTTTAGCCAGGTAGAGTTTAGTTTTTACAAAACTACCCAATTATCATAAAAGAAGAATAACTCAGTGAGTTTGTTATTTATAAATCTCATTTGAAATAAACTTATCAATCTTATAGTTCGTAGTGCCAGTGAGGTTCGCAGAAAAGTGAATATATCTTTAAAAAATCCGGGTGGCTCTTTCCATTTCTACCGCAAATTACCTAAGACTCTTTCGCAAGATTTGTCAGGTCTGAGAGGCAAGCCAAACTAAAATTAATAAGACTTTTAGAAATTTCATGGAACCATTTCACCTTCGAATTTTTCTTTCTTTTTTCCACATCGAAAAGTTTTTTATTTTTACAAAATTAAAAGTAAAATATTTAATAAATAATTTTTGCAGAAATTTATAAATCTCATTTGAAATAAACTTATCAATCTTATATTTTGAAAACTTAAAAAATTCATTTTTCATTTTCTTTTCCTTTTTCTTTGAAAAGCGCAAAACAATTCTGGTTTCGTTGGAATGAAATCCTTAAAAGTTTACTGGAGGACAGATATACGTCGCCCCAGAGGCTCCCTTCCCTGATTAGCTTAACTGATAAACTTATTCCTATCGAGAGATACAAATCAAGCGCATGCGACGCTCATTAGAAACAACATATGGCCCCAACACTCAACCATTTCAGAAATAATAGATTAGACGAATATCATACTGAAAAAATTATGTTCAAGCGATAAATAGATTTGGAGATTGACGCTAATTTTAGGCTGGTTTATATGGTTTAGTATTGTACTGAGACTCTTGCAACGGATTCTATCAACATTTCGGATTTCTTGCAACATTTTCATTTATCAGACGAGCAAAGGATGTTTCAAAATGATTTCTATTGGCAGAAGATCATTAGAAAACGAAGGAATTTAAGGGCCAGGATAGCCGAGAGGTATGTATGCCCTTTCAAGTCATATCAAATATCATGAGCTCTTTAATTACAAGCTATAAATCCTGAAATCTAATTGATGTTAGAGGATCCTGTACTTTCATTTATAACCCTTCTGCACCAACGAAAAATATTTCATATAAAATAAAAATATTTCTCAGTAGTCAAGGGCGACAATGAATGGTGAATATTATTGTAGGGTTCACTAAACGACATTAAACTAGCAATCTTTCATACTATCATCAACTTTGAAAATAGATTTGAAGACGAAAGCCGATAAATTTTGATTGATGGAAGTAACGAGCTCTAATCCAATTAGCATCTAAAGTATAATCGCAGAACATCCATCTATAATATTTATCAAGGTTAAATATGCGCGGAAGGGTAAGTTCGAAGGTCATCAGTCTCTACATTTGTTGTCGTTTGGTGTAATGTCACCACAGGATCTTCTTGTATATAACGTCAGGATTTCTCATAACTTATTGCTTGTCTATATTTTCTCGTATATTATACAGCGTTCTGCTTTCACATGTTTATGTTAATTATTATGCGTTTATCGAAACAGTTCAAAATTCAGATTAATCAGCGGCTAATCAGTTTATCAGTTTAGTTTAACTAGCGTTTATATTTTGTTATTTATACTGAACAGTTTATCGAAAGGTCAAAGGGCATTGTTTATTAAACGTTTTAAACGGGTTAATTGATTGAACAAAGATAGTATGCAAATCGCTGAGAGTTGTTTGAGGATGAAACGGCCCGGAATAGAGAGACGAACGGGTTGATTGATTGGATAAAGAGTATATGATTTGATGAGAGCTGCTGACTTGGTTAGAGGTAAAAAGGAGAGAGACAATCGGGCCGGGCACATAAAATGAGTCGATGAGTCGAACCATCGAACCACCAACCCTTTTCTCCAACCAGTCTTGTGCCATCCATCCGAACCCGTGTTTCCACCCAATGTTTTATAAGTCACCTACATTTCGACCTATATTCAGATGAACCAACCAGTGTATAGTAGGAACAGGCGGTGTTTTGATTTGTTTTATTTTGTTGATCTTTTCAATGGGTTATTTACTTTATCGGATTGATCGATTTTGGATCAGAAAAATTTGAACAATTTGAAATTTGAAAAAAAAATTTGAACTGTTTTTTCTTTTCCAATTGATAATATGTTAATATATGTTTCTTCATAATTTCAGATCATTTTTCAGATCAAAATTTTTTTTCTTCTTTTTTCTCTCTCCAACCTGTTTTAATTGTTTATATAGTTAAATCGTAAGTGAGTGCTCTGTGAAAGAAAATTTCGGATCGATTATCGATATAGCCATTTTTCGGTGTAAAAAAAAAGTTGGAAAGTTAGGTGCATCGAAATTAGAACTTTATGGAACATTGCAACTTTATTTCGGATCACGTACGGTTTAGCATGAATCCATTCTTTACCACTTATTTCGATGCCATGCAGATCTGCCATTGAAAATGAAATACATGTGGGCGAAATGCGAGCATATTCGCAGCCAAGCCCGATTGCCTAGACTGCATTGTTTTCGAAAATGAAGCCAAACTGGCAAGTAGGAATAAGAAGAAATTCAGTAATCAATGAATTTTCTGATCTGTGATATGAGATAATTAGATATTGGAATCAAAATAAGATAGAAAATAAAATAAAATAGGTATTAAATAAGAGTAGTGGCTATATAAATTCAGGTCATTCTCGGGTCATACTTTGAGCTATTGAATTCATTTGAAAAGATGGTGAGCGTAGGTAGATAAATGTGAGTGTTGAAGAATGACCTGATTTTAGCAGCATTATAAAGTAAATAGATTTACCAATGACCCATATAGATAGACCTTACTAACAAACTGTCAAATCGATATATTCAGGGATAACACCACTTTATCTAATACGTCATTAATATACAATATAGGTGCAATGGTGCATGATCACTCCGTCCTTTCTCTCATATCTTTTATCAGTTTACTCTCTTTTTTTCTGTTTCCTCACTCTTACCACTGTTCCATATTCTTTTAGCCTACTGTGTTTCAAATATTTCGGTTATATTTTTTTCTATAAACCGGTTTGCTTTATGAGGTGATAATTAATGTACTTGTTGTACTTTATACTTGTTTATAGTTGACATAACTTTTTCAATATGTGAGATTCATGATATAACAAGAGTTCAGTTCCACTGGGATGTTTATCTAACGAATATAGGGACTGCAGCTAGTTGCATGATTGTGCACCTTGGATCGTCGCACAAGCTGGTGACAAGCTGATATACGAGTTTCAGTATTATTTTACAGTATTATTTTTTACAGTATTATTTTTTTTACCATTACTTATTATACTCTCTGCGCTGGCCTGTCGCACTAAATATATCATGGAGTTGACCACAAGTGGATGGACAGCATCACCCAGATTTTTTAGCTTATTATTCTCTGGAGTAGAACCTCAACACTGGCGCTCTGAATTGAGCAACTGTCCACTGAGCCATTTTACTCTTTTTTATTTTCTTTCTGCGGTTCAACAAAGCGTAATGCATCGACCCGATTCAGACCCAAGTGTCGGTTCTTGGCTTGCGCTATCTTGCCAGTGATTTACTACATTGGGATTATATCGCGAAATATATTCATTTTTAGATTAATAGTTTGTTTGAGGTATTTAGATCACCTATGTCATTTATAGAAATCCGTGTAAGCCAAGCTTACTTTAAGTTTATCATGTTAAGATGGAATGGCACAGTGGGTTATTGCTCAGTTCGAAGAGCTGACGCTGAGGTTCTATTCCTCGCAGGACCAATTTTATTGTCATTATTATTAATATTGTTGCTTATTTATTGTTTTTATTGCTATTTATTTATTGTTATTATTACCATCACTTATTCTACTGTTATCATAATTTTTTTTTGAGAAACCTCATCATTATTGGTTAAACTCACTCCGCTGACTTGTCGCACTGGACAAATATGCCAGAAAGCCTCTTGACGATAGAAGTGCTGGTGACTCTCCAGTATCACTAGGATTTTGGACAGGTTTGATTCTGCGGGGAGTAGAACCTCAGCATCCGGATTGAACAACCCACTGAGCCATTCTACTTTCCATTATTTATTACATGTGATTTTTATTACTATTTATTATTTTATTATTATTTATTATTATTGATTGTCACTATTATTTTTTATATTCATTTAAAAATTTTTTTTATTATTTGATTATTGGAGAGTCGAGAAGATTCTCAGTGCGAAGTTCTGAAGTTTTAAAATTAAAATTTAAATACGGATATCGGTAAGTAGTGTTGTTAAGTTTGGATGAGACGATCTTTTGATCGAAATCAAATTTAGCGTCGGAAATTGTCATATCGTCGATACGAGCTTCTTTTCGGCTAGTTTTCAGACTCTGTTTATATATGGATGCTAATGAAAATTATAATCTCGAAATTTGCTGAATTTATATAACATGGTTGCGAATTGAAACATGGTTACGAACATTAGTTCGGTGGCGAGGAGCTATGACTGGATGCGAAGGGGTTTCAAATGGCAGGAAATAGTTTGAGGCCGTATTACTTATGGATTGTGGCAGAAAAGGAGTGCACATTCAGTTAGGGTCAAACTGTCAATATTCGAGGATTTCAAATAAGATAGATCGATTGCAATTTTGTGTTAGAGGCTATTGTTTTTTTTGCCGGAGCAAATCCAAACTGTAACCAATATTTTTATTATATAGACAATAGATTTGCAGTATATATATTTCGTTGTGGTATATTTAGAAATAAAAGATAATGCATCTCAAAATATGTCACTGATTACTTGCTTACATGCAGAACGTAATATTGCAGAATTGTATGCAGAAAGAGGAGTAGAAGCTTATTGGATTGGTACTCTCCCATTCCAGTCATTTTGCAGCCTGTCTGTCAAAGCTCCGCATAGTTTTCACGATTTATCTACAGGTTTGTCGTCAGGTGATTCCTGGCAAAATTTGTGATATAGTCCCATAAGTCAGCGGAACGAATCTAACCAGTCGAATTCGTAAAAAAGTTATCTCGACTTTCAAGCTTCAAAAGATCCTGGCAAAAGAAGTTTTTTCTTGCTTTTTTCTATATCTGAAAATTATTCATTATTATGTTATATTTGATTTTAAATATTGCTATTATTTTACTATTGACAAATGGGATGAGTTTACTGACTCGCGAAATCATTTATTAGTAATTTATCATTTTATCAGTTTAATCATTTTCGAAACAATTCTTATAATATTTGTGTAATAGTCAATTGGTCTACCAGTTTGTTTCTAGTTCTAGCAGAATGGTACCTCGTTGCTTTCATTTTCTTACCAAATTTTATATTCGATTTTTGCAGTAACGTTGCATTACATTCGTTCATATGTTATATTATAATAACAATAATTCGCATAATAGAATTTCTTGATTGGCAATATTTTTCTTTTTTTTAAGAATCAAATTGGCGTCACTAGATCAGCAGTTATCGAATCGTGTGCGCCATCCAGCGCTACGTAAATCGACAGCGATAAACGATGAGATTTTGGACGAAGAAAATTCAGATCCAGATCAAGGAACATGGGATAGTAATAACATTGCAGCAATATCAAGTTTAATGCGACGAGCACAAAGTAATCTACCAACAGCAACAATTCATTGCACGAAGAGTGAACCATTAACCAGTGAAGATATCGGTATAATTCCAGCGATACGAAGTATTATAGGTACACATGCACATTCAGTTCCACCGACACGTACTTCACGCCTTCTCGATATCGCCGCTATGGGTTCTGTTAGTTTTTCTGTGTTTGTAAAAAAATTATTTGTTTAAATTGAAATGATTTTCAAGATTTCCTTAAAATATTATTGCATAATTTCATTTCATTTAAATTAAACGGACCATTGAATAAATCATAAATATTTTAATTAATATTTAAAGAAATAATAATTTATTAATAAAAGCAATAATTTAGGGAAATATTTAAATAATTTTGGATAAATTAACCAGTTTACCAAACAAATCTTTCGTACATTTTTTTTTTCCAAATTTAGCATACAGTTTGCGAAATATTTGCACATATCTTTTCATTTAGTTTTCATTATTTCTGAGTCATTACTCCATTTTCTTATTCTTCAGAAAATGGTATAGTGCATGTGAGGAGGAGCCACAGAAGAGGATTATGAGGCAAAAAAAGCTTGAGAACCACTGTTCTAAATAAAATTTTTTGAAAAAAATAATTTTCTTAATTTACAGGTGAGGAGTTGTGATATTCCTTTTCCAGAAGATGCTGGCAGTGTTTCGTTTTTTGATTCTCATGCTTCAAATAGACATCAGGTAGAATCTATAAGCATCCTTTAAATCTAAAATGTTTCTTATATCAATATTACAGGCTCTTGATAAGACTAAACCTATCATTAAAATATTGAAATTCGAGTGGAGAGGTGAAATATTGCGGGCCCACTTTTTATTTATCCCTAAATTACTGTAGGGAAAGAAGCGTCTAAATAAAATAGTCAGCGGAACCAATCAGGCCAAAGATTCGCTGTATTTATTGAAAAAATGCTTTGGTTATTTTTTCAAAATACTTTTGAATATATTTTCGAAAGATGCATCTCAATTTAAGCTATCTAATTAAGTTATCAGTTATGCTTCTGATTTGAACAACTGCATTATTTTTCTATATTTTCGAAAATAAAAAATTGGAAGGAATTGCAAGTTTTTGTTTTTCACATTTTATTTTTAAATGATTATTTTGTTCATCCTTCTGTGGGAAATTCCTATATATTATAGAAATTTTTTGAGTTTCATCTTTCTGTTTTATTAAATTATCCTTGATTATTCCATGATCTTTCAGCAAATTGGCGCTGATTCTTCTATAGGTTCATCAAGTACCATTCGGGATACAGGTACAACGTTGCCTTTAAATAGCGTCTTAGTTCCACCAAAGTCAGTTATACAAGATGATATTCGAATGAAACTCGGTCGATTCGAATTGGTCAAAAAGAAGGGTCGATCAGAGGTTTGGAATCTTTTTGGTCAGGTTAGATTCGTTTTGAATTCATTCTGTGAATTATTTTTAAATAATTTTTTATTTACTTCTTGAAATATGCAGGTTTTGGATACAAAAACGGGTGCCCGATTACCATATGTTGCGTGTTATGCTTGCAAAGTCCTTTATACCGATACTGGTGGTGGAACTGGCAATATGACTCGGCACAGATGTCCAATGGGGACCAGTTATAAGGATAATAGTGCATGGTGCTCGTTTATTTTTAAATTTGTACAACTAATTGATATAACAAGTTAAGCGAAATTTTTTCAGTTAATAATAAATGATTCTGTACTTTTTTGTTTGATTTTTAATTTTTAGGGAAAAAGAGTTTCCATTTTTGATAATTAATATGGTTTCATATTTCATAAGTGCAGGATTTATGTAAAGAAATATTTAGCTTATCTATGGATGGCAGTAGCGCTGACATATCTCAACAACAATCATCTTTCGATGCGACGAATTCGGTTAATGGACAAATGTCACCAGATACTGCATCATTTTACCAAAGAGTTTGTTGTATCCAATTTTTAAAGCGTAAATAGTTAAAAAAGAAAAATAATTGAGCTTCTTATAATTGTTATTTTGGTAACTTCATATTAGCAAATCCTTTCAGTTAACAATCATTTTGTTTTATTTAAATATCCTTTGGTTATTATTTTATTATAATGATTATGATGACTATGATATTTTTCAGGAATCACCAGTTCCTTCGCAACCACATAATACTTTAATAGGTCAATCATCCTTCGATCAGTCATTTTCTTTTTCAGAAAATGATCGACGTGCATTCAGTCATGCAGCTGTTCGTTGCTGTGCTATGGATCTCCTTTCACCTAATGTTTTCCAGGTTTTAATTTTGTTGTATAATTTTTTATTTTATTTGAAATTCAATTTATTTTCTTTATTTTCAATTTATATGATTGGCTTTGTAGTTTAGTAAAAAATTAACATTACTAAGTGGTTAAAATATTTCTAAATTAAATTGTATCAGGGTGAAGGAATACGATCATTGATTGAAACAACGCTGGCGATTGGCCGTCGATATCGTTCTTCAGAAAGACAACTAGTTTCAACCTTGATTCCTGATACATTAACTTTGCAACAGGTATTATTATTTTGAATTGAATAAGGTTTTCTTTCTTTGAATCTCTTTTTATAGAATCCAATAATTCTTATCAGCTGCTTATTTTTTTACAATTATTTATTATTATTTTGTAATCATTTTATTTAAAGATGATCGACACTGGCACAAATTTAGCTTTAAATGAAGTTAAAACAGAGATCACTAATCAGCTTCAAGGAGCGGGTATTTCATTTTCTATCGAGCAGATTTCTGGCCTTAATGAACTCATTGTTATCTCGGCGAATTATATTTCTGCTGACTGGAAACTTACGAGAAGAATTATTAGGTTGTTATTCATAAATCTTCGTTATCATACATTTAAATACAATTTTATTAAAATTTTATATTTTTCTTAACTCTTTGTATTTTTATTTGTATTTGCAATATATTTTTAGCGTCTAAACTTGTTTTTTTTTGTATAATTGAGAAATACTTGTTTGCTTTGTGTTTGAGGGATCTTTGTTCATAAAAATAAAGAAGTTTAATAATCAATGATAATTAAGCTAAGGATGATTCATTTTTTTCTGGATGAAGTTGTAAAGGAGACACTTGTTTGGTGAGGATATTCTTCTAATCTGCGATTATTTTAGTGTTGAAGCAAACGATAATATAGTTCCTGCTATAGAAAAAATAATTTTGGGATATGCAACAGGAATATCTCGATTATTCGTTGTTTCTGCGGAAGAATTACCTTTCACCGAAGCATATCAGACAGCACCGTGTATTTGTTCAAAACTGAATGAAGTAATACTTTTTTAACTGATCTTTTAAGAGAATGAAAAACAGTTTATATTTTAATAAGTAGTCTTTTTAATAATCTTATACTGTAATAAAATCTTTAAGATTTCTTAAATCTTTAAATCAAGAAGTTCTCTAAAATTTGCCTTATCTTATTTATTAAATTTATAAAAACTTTTAAACTGTTTAATAAATGTTAAATTTTTAAGCTTACTTGTAAATTATTAAGTGATTTTCAAGAGATAGTTTTAACGCTTTTAATTTAGCAGAATTTCAGATAATTAAATGTATATTGGAAGAAGTTTTTGATTCTGACCAAAATGTACTAGAAGCAATATCAATTTGTCGTGATATCGCAGGTAAAATTGTAATTATTGACTATTCATTATCGAAATACATAGTACATAATATAATAATTTCCAGATGTTTTAAGTTGCAGTGGTAGCTTTATCTTGGTTTCTCATATTCTATCTATACCTATACCTATACTTCTTTGATACTCCATTCCTATCGTATTCTTAATAGCCTCCTTTAAAACTTTCTTTGTTCCAGTTTGGCTTTTGCTTTCTATATAACTGTTTCATTAAGTCTTTCTTTTATTATTAATATATATTTTAATATATATTAATAATTTTAATATAATTTAATCCTATAATTTTATTTTTAAGAAAGCTTGGAAAAAATGGGAATGGAGCGATGGTTGAATGGAGTGGATGAAAAAATTGGTGGCAGTTTTGATTATCTTTTTTATGTATATAATTTGTTAAAAAATGTTCAGCGTTGTGTTCACGATTCCGCATTATCACAATGTCCACAAGGTTCTGCATCACATGTTGCTTACTTTTTTCATTTTTCGTTTAAGTATGTAAGTTTTTAATTCTTCCAATTTCAGATTTGATTTCATTAATAGAACGTGCGGACTGGCATTTTATTAATGATCTCAAGAGATTTTTGGAACCTTTCCATGTCATGGCTTCAATATTCAGTGCAAATTCTGTCTGCAATTTCCATATGGTCAACATTTTTCTACAATATATCGTATTTGATTTATAGGAACTCCAAAATTTTTAGAATCTTTTGGTGGTTATGATTTATAATAATTTAGGTTTTGCCTGAATGGTTTGCATTGATTCATGAATTTTCATCTGATGGAGAAATCGTCACGAATGATGAAACATCAAAATGGTTTTCTAAAATGCGTAATATTGCCGAAAAGCGCCTTTGCTCTGAAACAGATAATATTATAAGAACGGAACATCGAATTGCCACTGTTCTTAATCCAAGGCTAAAACATTTGCCAATTATATGTACCGATCTTCAAAGGTTTTTTATTTTCTTTTTTGTTTTCTATATTGATTCCTGGTTCTGAAATGGTAATTTGCATTATATTTCTTAAATTGAATTAAGTATAATAATTATTTTGCAATTCTTGACATTCAAAATCAGTTCAACAATATTCAGCATTCATAAATGTTGTTTAGGCTTGAGACATATGCAAAGATAAGGTCATTAATTGGTCTATCTGATTCAAAAAATTCAAAAAAATGTGATGATTATTTTTCTTCAGGTTTGATGTCAATTATTTTAGTAATTTCTTATCATTTTCCTATCATTTCTTATCATCATTTGAGAGAAAGCTATAAAAAGCGATGTTTAAGATGGGAAATGTGAAAAAAAATGTTTTTAAAAAAAAAATGATTAATCTTATTTTAGAATCAGTTGATATTGAACCGCAGCGAAAACGAATATGTTTTCTTTCTTCACTGGAAGATCGAGCAATGATTGATGACGAACTTGAGTGTTACCTTCGTTCACAGTTTCCTGCTGTACAAACCAAGTGCTTTTTTTAATTGTTGTGTCTAAAAATATAGTGATAAGACTGAAAAAAAAGGAGTTCAAATCATACTTTTTATTGAATATTTTAGTTGTAAGCAAACGTTATGAGTTCAATAACGGTTTAGCACAGATCTATTATTAGGGGTGAAGTTGGACTGGTTATTTCTTCTTCTTCTTCTAACAGCTCTCGATTACTGGTTAGGCTGGCTCCAATGGCTACAAGAATAAGATGCTTCCAAGCGCCACGGTCTGATGCCATCGTCGACAGTAATAGAAGCCATTCCTTTTTCATCGTCTATATATTGGTTGTCCACCTATACGTCCAAAATCTTTTCTCACCGTATCAGTCAGGTCTTGATTGGCCCACCTCGCTTTTAACGCCAACCATTACGCGGTTTAGCAAGTAACGAAATATGCGACAACTTTTGTGGTGGACGACGGAGGAAGTGTCCTAACCACCGAAGGCGGCACTCCGTGATGACATTATTAATACAGGTGATGTTTGAACAAAAGTGGATGCGATCTTATGATATTTTATCCGCTCGACGGACCCGTAAAATATACCTTAGGCAAGAGTGGTCAAAGGTAGATGGCTTCTTAATATCCTCCACTCTCATTGGCCATGTCTCAGAACCATGTAGCAAGATCGAACGAATCACGGCTATATAGATGCGGATTTTCGTTTTAATGGTAATATCATGACAGCTTCGTAAAGGTTTTGTCAACCGGAAGAACATATTTCTAGCTGCCGTGATCAGGGCTACAATATCGTCTTTTGCTTGGCCCTTTGGTATTAGAGTGGATTTAAGGTATTTAAAATCGGACACTTCCTCGACCTTAAATTTATAAAGAGAGGCATTTTATCAGCTTCTTCATAAGACGAAAAGACTTTCTTTATATATATTGACCTTGAGTCCTATTCTTGCTGCAGTTTCTGATACGTTATTAAGCATTACTTGCATTTCGCCATAACTGTCAGCAAAAAGGGCTCAACGTATTCAAGATCTGTGATACTCTGGATTAATTTGGACGGCTCTTGAGTGCCGACAAGCTGTGTCCATTACCCAGTCTATCGCATATTTAAGTATTATAGGCGAAGGCATGCAGCCTTGGCGAATACCCGAGCATTTAGAGTATTTTTGAAGTACCATGGTTCTTACTTTCATACATTATCATAAATTTTTACAATCAGGATGTTTCAGAAATGTTTTACAATTTTGGTCAACAGTCGGAGTGTCGCAGTTTCCGAACTTGTCTCAACTAGCCCGTTATCTTTTCTCAATTCCAGCTGCCTGCTGCAAGCATAAAAATCAGATTTTACCTGGTTTTATATCCGATTCATTATCGAATCTTCTTATATTACGATCGTTTTATGACAGTTCTTCTCAAGATTCATTAGCTTCTCAGCCTACCAACAGGCAAAAATGGAAGACAGAACTTTAAGAATAAGGATTATCCAGAATATGGCTTAATTTTTGAAGTTTTCTTATTGTCAGATAATGATATTTTCCTTTTCAACTAGCTTTAATTTATCTCATAAAAAACAAGTATGGACACTGGTAAGCATTACATATTGCAAATATCGCAAATAAAGTCTTCGAAGAAAATCACAAACACCATTGTTGTTTTTTTTTTAATTTGTTATAAATATTAGTTTGCCAGGAAGTTTCTCATAAAATTCCAACCATTGTCTTTTGTTACCCGTATTATAGTTTGTTTTCTAGTCAATGCTTAATTAGTTGAAAAATAGGAGAGTTATTTTTTAAAGCTGTTTCTATAGTTATTGCAATCTACCTCGGTTTTGCTAGGCGGTGATATTTTTGTTTATTGAATCGTTTTAGTGGGCAAATCTCGGGTTTTAAATCTATTTTGATTAGATTCATAGAAAATTTTGCCGCTGCCATTTTCATCTATTTTTTTTTTTATCATTTATTTTTAGTCTTTTAAGATTCGATTGTTTTATTATCAATTATCATTTATTTTCGTGTATAAATAGTTGTAATTCATTTACTCATTCATTTTCTTTCCAATATTTGGATCATTAATGAAAACTCATTTGATGTCTGTAGAATTTGATGTCCTTTATTTTTTTTTTCTTGTATATTTCCTACATTTATTTGCATTTTGTATCCTTTCTTTCTTAAAAATTAGGAAGGAAGCATTTATATCATTTTTATCTATTTATTTATAATTTCCATTTGTTTAATGGATTTCAGTTGTTAATTTAAAGTTAATTCGATGAACACTGTAAGAGAGATTTTCAATTTGGATTTCTAGAAAAAAATTTTTTTTAAATTTTAAAAATTTTTAAATTTTTTTAGTTGAATTTCATTGAAAATTTTAAATATTTTGATTGGTTTATTCCTTTATTTTCATACGTAAAAACGATCTCTGTTTGTTTTGTTATTTTGAAAATTTAAAAAAATGAATTAAAAATCTATTATAAAAATCGTTTTTATATTTTTTAGAATGCTTTTCACATTGATTATAAATATTATTATTAGTTTTTTTTTTTTTCGGTGTGATATGGTATAATAATGTGGAAATTGTTGCACAGAATGGATATCTTCGTGTTATTCAGTGGTACCCACTATTTGGTCGGTTACCTTATTAGAATGAGAAATATTCGCCAAAGAGCCAGATTTGATATTGTGTAGCTGTAGAAGTGCAGCTGAATCGCTAAGATAATAGTACCATTCAAAGAACAAAAATTCGAAAGGAATTCACAGTTCATGCCAAGACTTTGCTCTAAGGCGTTTTCCGAATGAAATTTTCAATTTGAATTATTGAATTCAAATTTTATTGAGTTTAATTATGCTCGGTGGATAAAGAAAAGTTAGAGAAGAGTGATCGGTTTTGCAATCAGTTCTTAGGTTGTATTGATACAGATAAATATTGTTTAGTTAAAACTAGTTGGAAGATTGCAGGGGGGTATCTTTCGTCTATCAGGTATTTTGCCATCTCGTATTTCTTATTTCTCAACTAGATTTATCGTTGTATAAATTTCTTGAACTCCACAAAATTTCTTGCAAAATTAGTTTTTTGCTACATTTTTCGGCTATTTGGGAAACGGGTGAAAAGAGCGGTGATTTTATTTTCTTAGTTAATATGATAGCGACCAGTAATGACGATTTATCGTTCAATAGATTGCAACAGAGTACCATTCAAATGGAATTTTAATAATTTACTTTTAGTGTGATTTTAGTATTACCCAATGACCCAATGCACTGATAATTATATCAATGCAATATCAATGCATAAGAGTAATTGTTGGTGACATTTCAGTTGGTGATTTTTAATAGTGCTTTATTTTATAGGTCGAAAAATTTAGCCATTTGTGTTAAATTTTCAGCTATGAATCGGGTCAGCTGATAGATATGTAAGTTCTCTTGGCTTTTCAATAAATGAAACGTTTTATGATAATAGCAATTTTTATTAGACCACTTCTTTTATCTAAATATTTGTGATTCCTGGATTTCAAATCATTTCAATGTTGCTGTCTTGGCAATGACAAACGCTTTATAGAATTTTCCTCTGCTTCAACATGAAAACTAATGATAAAGAACCAGTTTCCATTGTTATTTCTGAGTAGTCATTTCTAGTCTCAAGTATGGATCTTCATATTCTACAAACTTCTTCAGATAATGAAGTACCAAGCACCATCGCGACCCACACCAAAGCATATGATTTCCTTGATATGATTCTAATCCACTGCATATGTTTGATAAAAATCACTTAAATTATCAAAAAACATGCAAAAGTTGGAGAAACGTGGAATTTGAAAGGTGAAATTACCTGAAGAAATTTGAAGTTCCAAAGAGCAAAATTATTGTTACAGCAAGGTTCTAGGCAAAGGGTAAAGATAAATTGAATTGGTTGGTTCAAAAATGGAAAAAGTAATGCATGGCTGAATCCGTGACATACTTAGCTATCTTTTAAAGTAATATTCAGTGATATTTTTAAATTATTATTTTTTAGAGTGATTTGAGAATGTCTCCAAAAGCAGCTTTTTTGCGTACTACTCGTTATGGAAAAATTTGCAATATCGTTAGTCAACTTTATTTTTACGTTTTAAATAGAAACTGATGCCAGTGGCAATAAACTTTTCATAACTTATTATTGAAACAGTTTAAGTGCATCGCATCTTCTAGTTGCATCGAATGTGCCTGAATTCAACACACTTGTAACGATTTTAAAAGAAATTTGGCTTAAAAAAAGTGGCAATGAGGATTTCGCGTATTTCTGCGTTCTATTTTTAATTATTTTTAAGTTTTAATCGTTATCATTAGAATTATCATTATCACAAATTATCATTTAAAAAATCCACTATAAAACCTAAAACGAAACGATTTAGAATAATATTTCAAATGCTGAAATCAAATTTCGCTATAAACTTAAGTCATTAGATTAAATATTATTTCAAATACTTCAGAATTCCAACAAATTTTTAAAAGTTTGATTGAATTTTTCAAACAGAATTTATAGTTTGCTTATAATAATTAATGGCTAAACACAATTTTTATTTGTTTTTTTAAATGCACTTTCTTTTGTTTCTTTTTTCCACTCATATTTTCTATTTATATTCATACAAAATATATTTTAGTGAGTATGGATTTGAATCTAATTTCATTTCTTACTCTCTCTTCTTTCATAAATTTTTCAAGTTATCTTTATGGAATTTCTTATTAATTTATCATATTATTTAGATAAATTACAAGCAGAAAGCAATAAGCAACAAGCAAATAGTTGCGACTAAATTAATAAAACAAACACAGCGAATGTCAATATCGCCTTCAATTCAAAAATTTAATTATTTCTTGATACTCGATTTTGAAGCAACGTGTATTGAGAATGGAAAAATACAACCTCATCAGGTGTTTTTTATCAATAATTTTTAATATTGATTTTCAAAAATAATCAAATATTTAGTTTTACTAATAAATTTTTATTTGAATTATTTTTTTATACTTTATATTTTTATAAAAATTATTTTATACTTTGTATTTTTTATTTTATATATTTCTGTATATATATTTTTATATTTTATTTATTTATATTTTATTATAAGTTCCTTTTTCTTGAAGGAAATTATCGAATTTCCTGTGCTTCAAGTCGATGCAAAATCGTTAAAAGAAGTAAATCGTTTTCATCAATATGTTCGACCAACTGAACGGCCATTTTTGACTTCGTTTTGCACTAATCTTACTGGTATCGTTCAGGTATCGTTTGACAATTATTTGACAATAATAAATAGAAATAATATATTAACATTTCTTTAAAAAATGGTTGCGAAATCTGAGTTTTCATTATTTTAATTTTTCGATGCTGCTGAAAACTATTGTTGCTTTCTCAAATTTTCAAGAATTCTTTGGTACTTCTTTAAAAATTCCTTTCTTAAACATTTCCTTAAATATGCAAAAATTCCTTTAATTTTTTTAGCACCAACTCCTCTAAGCACCACTCGTGAACCATTAATGCATTGCCTATTCTCTTATATCTCTTGAATTTGCCATAATTACTCTATTAGATTTTGTTATACTTCCTTAAATCTTGTGCTCCTCCTTACGCTCTCGATCCTTCCAGTGGAATTCTCGAAATGATAAAACTTTTTTTTTTTCAAATTTGCTTTCATATAATCATCCACTTCCTTCAGGGATTTATTTATTCTTCAATTTTTCTTCAATTTAATTCAGTAAATTCGTCGTGAAAAGATTGGCTATATATTTTATCTTAGGAAATGGTTGACAACCAGCCGAATCTGCACGAAATACTCAGACAATTTGATGTTTGGCTAGAGCAGTCAGGATTGATTGTTAAGGAGGGAAACGAAAAACTTGCTAATTCTTGGACGTTTGTAACATGTGGAGATTGGGATCTTGGCACAATGTTGCCCAGTGAAGCTAAATATCGAAACATACAATTGCCGAAGTAATACAAACTTTCTCTTTTTATTTTTTAGTTTTAATAATTATTTTTACAACATTAATGTTTTCTTCTATATCCTCGCTTTCTTTTTGTTCTCGTATTTTTCTATCAGTCGTTTTTCCATTTAGTTGATTTATTTAAGAAATAGTTGGTAATCTTCGCTTTGGAGTCTCGGATATTATTATTCTTTATTTTGCATTTCACTAATTCAGTGAAAGGAAAAGTTATTATTTTTTGCAATTTGTTTTTCTATCAAAATGATTTCAGATATTTTAATCAGTGGATAAATTTGAAAAAATCCTATGCTTCATTTAAAGGCTATTTTCCACCTTCATTGGCTTATATGCTCAATGAAATTGGCTTAGAACGAATTGTTGGTTTTTTCAATTTTTAATTCAATTTTTTAAATTCCGTTCATTATTCATTATAGGTCATTTAAATTTTCCATAAAAAAAATGACTGAAAAAAAGGAAAAAAGGAGAAAGGAAATTTTTCATTCGGATTCAAATTTTTCATTCAGTAATTTTTAAATTCAATATTCACTAAATCTAAGTTTTCTACAAAATGTGCTCGAAAATTATAAATCAAAGGATAAAATCGTAAGCACTGGAAAAAGCTGTTTTTAGGGTCGTATGCATAGTGGTATTGATGATGTTTTGAATATATTTGCCATATTGAGGAATCTTATTGAAAACGGCTTTGTTCTCGACAATACATCTTCAGTTTCGGATGATATGATTGCAGTGATACGATCAGTTTTTGGTAAAGAAGGAAAAAAATTATAAATAAAATTGCTATGATTTCTGCTGTTAATGACTATTTATTTTATTTCTGTTTTATATAAATCTGTTTTATTTTATATAATATATTTTTGTTTTTGACTGAATTCTTTTTTTACCCAATGAAATTCTCAGTTATTAATGAAGAAGTCTGAAGTGGAATTTTTATAAAAAAAAACAACCTACTATTTTATTAAACTTACTTACTATTTTATTAAAAGAACTCAAAATTAAAAGAATTTAATTAATTGATAATTTTTTGTTTTAAAAATTTCCACCATAAGCCGCAGTGATATTTCTATCAATCACTATTTTAACAGTGATGAAAATTCATCTTAATCATATTCACATATAATAAATGATAAATGATATCTGAAAAAATTGAATTATAGGAGAAATCTTAACAGGAGGTTTGAATTATTAAAGGTAAGAAATAATTTGTGGGAAGGGATAACACTGGGTTCGGTATTTCGCTACGGTTAATGATCCATTTTATACAAAAAAAAGAAATCGAATTGAAGAATCGGGTAGATTCCTGAGATCAAACGATATGATATGCCATTTTTTCAGTTCTTCTTTCCGTACCACTATTTGGTTTTGAAGATCGTCGTCGTAATCGTGTTCGTTTCTATTTTATAATAATCTTTCAAGAGGCCTCTTAATAATATGGATTTCCAATTTCATATTTTTCATGCTTCTACCACTAATTTTGCTTATTCTACCGTTTTGCAAGTTTATAAGAAATTAAATGGTGTTAAAGTCTGTTGATAGAGTTTGTCGAGAAATTAATGAAATTTCTAAAGAAATGAATCTTAGCGCCGCAAATAAATTCAAAAATAAAAAAAAAATTAACCGAAATCTTTCCAACTGCTTGATACTTTGGTGAATATGAATTCCAAAAGTGACATATCATAACCGATGACAATATGAAACATACACCTGCAATTTTTACACTTCCACTGGAAAATTTTTACTAGTCTCTTATGAGCATAAAATTCTCTCTCGTCGGAAACAACCGAAAGAATTTATTATAAAAAAAACACTCTTTGAACGAAGGACTCTACAATAATGAATCAGCTATTTAATATTCAAACCATACAAAAATCACATTTGTTAGCTAATTTTAAAAAACTACTTTAGATACAGCTAATTTAATAAATTAGATACAAATTTTAGATACAACTGTGAAACAGTGCCCTTGAAATAAAAAATAATAATTTCTATACAATTTTTGTATGATAATATTATAAGCCCAAAAATCCACAAAAAAAAGAAACTAATAGATTCAGTTCGAACGGTGTTTTAAAAAAACGACGAACGCGAACTTCAACCAATTTTTTCTCTCGAACCAGAATTCAACGCGACATTTTTCTTCTTCTTTAACCCTACTTGACCCAATTATTACACTATTATAATATATTGTTGTTATAATTCAACACTATATATTGTTATATATTGTTGTTATAATTCAACGGTGAATACTTTTCCCTTTCGACTCAAGACAACTTTCACGACAGTCGTATTTAAATCAGTGCAGAATATTTTTAGCTGAGACTGCCACTTTTTGGCTCATCTTGGCAAGCTTTTTGATTCGTCATCATGGCACTCTTCCCGGCTCATGTTGGCATTTACTCTTGATAGGAAGTTACATCAGTATATATGGTGTCTTTTTTTTCGTATTTTTTCTAAATTTATTTAAAATGAAATGTCATACCAACAGCAACTGAAATAAGGAGCATCATTCCACTTAAACAATTAACAATACCAGTACGACTTTTCATTTTGCTTAAGTGATCCAACCAGATGCCCGTTGTTATAACTGATAATAAATTGCCAACGGCAGATATAATGCACAGTACAAGCCACGTTATCAGGATCATTCTCCAGCGATATCTGAATTATTTTTAATTTTTAAATTTCTCTAGCTATAAATCTAAAATTATATCATTTCTTAACCATCGTCATAGTTAAAGCCATGATTGATGGATTCTATGCGATATCTGAAGATATCAGAAGATGCCATCGTAAATCTAATAAACGACAAACAGTTTACCTGTGAACTGCTCCAAGTCCAACACTTCCTGTTGTTGTACCAACTACTGCAGCTACCACATTCATATGACAAGTACTTTGATATGCAGTTTCCTCAGCGAATCCTGGACAAGTAAGTCCATGTATCAAAAAGCAAAGGGATATAAATATTTCTGCTCGACAAAGATTGATCATTATTGACACGTAGCTGTAAAAAGAAAATAAATGCTTAATAACGCTCATTTTCAATAATTTATTTACGACTTACCTATTCAGTATTATTGATTATAGTAGATTTATATCTTTTAAATAATTTTTACTTTTTCTGTAGATAGTGAAATCTTTAAAATTTGTCGCAAGAAATGCGCAATTATCATTAAAATTTTGGAAGAAAAAGGATTCTGGAAAATAACTGACTCTGTGTGTTCAAATCCAGAGCGTTGCATTACTGTATAAGCCTTATATTGCTTTCGATATGATTTTCCTTCTCCCATCTCTTCTTCTGTTTCTGAGCTCTGAATTACGTATTATCTCATAAGCTTAATATAACTATGATAAAAGTTTGAGTGATGGCTGCTTGTGCTTGCATTTGCTTACATTATACAACGCTTAACTTATATTAAACTATTTTTCCTCGGAATTCCTAAGTTTTCAAATATTTAATTAATGAAGCTTTAATTAAATTTATTTTTAGCGAAAAAAGTTTAGTTATTATTATAATATTACTCATAAACGCACCATTTGGCTGAGAGTCTTACGAGAAATTCTTAATGTCGAATCTTCTGAATTCTTCAAAAGTTCCATCTGAAAAAAACCTGAAACTTATAGAGGAGAAAATCGCTCATTTATTATTTTTAAAGCAAATATAGTTAAGAAAATATTACAAGAAAAAAGATTTATTTAGAAAGATTAATTGTAATATTTTCAGTCAAATAAAAAAAAAACGAGAAATTCGCTTGTCAAACTACCTCGTCGACTCATACTTTTTTATTAGTGCTGTATTAATACTATTTCAGGTGGATATTTAATGAATCTCAGGTACCCAATCAATGATCCCACAAATTTCCAATATTGTTAGGCGATTATAAGAAATATTCTTTTTTGCAGTAATACACAGCGTTTGCCAATAATATTTCGACCTAAATGTATGCTGTGATGTCAGATGATTATTGTTTTTAAACAGTTATGTAAATTTTCTTATTAAATAATTGCTTATTTATTAATTAAAGCAAAAATATCTGATAAGCAACTCGAGAATTCATTCATCGGAAAAATTCCTAAAAAAGAATTCGAAAAAAGAATCGATGCATTTGTTGGTTTCACAAAAACAATGCCAAATCTCATCCGTTTTAAATTACCCTCTTTTTTATAATAAAAATATAAAAAATAAAGTTTTTTATCCTTCTTTTAACTTTTATTTAAGAAATGTACTATAAATATACTATAACTTTCTATGTGCAAAGAAGATAATAGTTCACTGAATGCGATTGAGAGAAATCAAAATATTGGATTATCTACTGCAGTAAAAAGTAAAAAAATTATGGTTAAAGTATCATCAAACATAATTTTGATCGATTTACTTTGTTATTTTGTTATTTTTTTTGTTATTCCTCTATAAACTAGTTTATTTATTTAATGAAATATCACTGCCGGTTCACTATTTCAAATCGCTAATCGCTATACGAGTAACCGAATTCTATCATTTTTTACTTATATTGCACTTTGATTTATTCTTAAAGAAATTATACTATAAATTAATCTGAAAAGCAATTTTCTCTTTTCTTCGAGGTTGTAAGTAGAAATTGGCATAAAAAAATAAAAGATATAAAAAACTGATACTGATAATATATGGAAAAAGAATACTGGTTTGAACGATAATTTTGAGAAAGCGAGTTCAACTCGAATTTCGTTATATGAAAGTCGTTGCAAATCAAAAGTACTGCGAATTAACCGATAGTTCGTAAATTAAAAAATAGAATTCATAACTGAAAAAATAGATCGACGATAATGATTTATTGCATTTACAAATTATTTTAAATAAATATTGAATTTAACTGTTAAAAATATTTTTTATCATATTGTAGCATAGGAAAAAGTATTGCAATCGTTTTAATAGCCGTTTTCAAAGAAAATGTAAACTGTCTTAAGTCAGTCCAAAGTCATTCAAGAAATATACAGTAATTTACCCGATTTCTTGTAGCAAGTAAATTAAATAAGAAAAAACCAATAAGGAGAATTTGAACGATAATTTTAAATAAAATTTCTAAAATTTTCTCAATATTTATACACGATCAATATTGAAAATGATGCGGTGTGGTTTATAAAAGGTCCTTGAACGTCTGCCAAATTTCTTAAAATGCAAGGACGTAAAGATATTGCCGTCAAGTGATTTATACGTTCGAAAAATTTAAATATATATATATTCAAATATTCATCAATAGTCACAATAAACTACAAATATTAAGTAGTTTAAAAAATTTATCTTTCTGGGTGGTTCTGGGTAATTGAGTGCTGGGTGGAGATCCATTTGCGGACCCAGTTCGAAATAGAGATTCAGCTGTAGAAGCATAAGCAAATGCAGATCCAATCATAGTACAACATCGATACGGAAATCTCACCATAGACTTCAAATGAAGATCGAGTTGCAGATCCAGAAGAAGATCAAGACTTCTTCGCCAAGGACTTACTCGATGGTGAAATTAAATCAATTCTAATAATTCAGGTTTGTTAATAATTGCTCTTTTATGAATATTTCCAAAAAAAATAAGCAACTGCATATGCATCTTTTAGAGTCTTTATTAGTATAGTTTTATTGGGCACCAATTCCAAATCCGCCATTCCGAAAATTAATTAAATTGACTACTGGATACGATATTTTAAGCTAGTTAATCTTTTTGCGATTTCATTGTATAAACATGGTCACTGCATATAATTAGATTCATGAAAACAAGGAAAAAGAAGAAAGAAAAGATGAACAACGAACGGATGACCTATGCAAAATATTCATGTAACGAGGCTACGTATGTGGCCGTGTGCATCGATTTATTTATTTATTCTTCGATGAACTAATCAGTTTGGGCTAAAAAATCGTTCTATTTCTGAAATCGGATATATATTTAACCCGCAGTAGCAATGAGAAGTACCTGTAAATTACTGGTGAGGTAATAAGAAGGAATATTTTTATCTAGAATGGAAAAACGAGGATCAATAATTGGTAAATTAAGTAGTGCTGGAAAGGAGGAAGAAATCGATAATATTTTGGAGAGAGAGGATCAGTATTTATTAAATATCCCACTGTATGACCTCCCAGGATTCATACAGTACTTGCAAGTTACAAACAAAATTGTATTAATGTGTGGCAGAATTAAACTTATCCTTTTTTAGTCTACATTTTCCTAGTTTTATAAAGGCAAATATTATGGTGTCGGTTACTAGCGGTTACTAGTCGGTTACCATTACTAGTGAGATTCATTCCGCTGGTTTGTTGGACCAGAACATTTTGCCAGAGAATCAGTTGGCGAAAGAGGTATAGGTGAGTCGTGAGCATAACCTGAATTTTTGAATGACCGGTTCATTTTGCCGATCATAGAACCTCAATGTGGGTGCACTGAACTGAACAACAACCCACAATCTATCTCCTTTTGCTTTTGCCATTCGGCGACATTATCGCCTAATGAAGCGAGTCAATCGGATTCGCACTCATTCCATCCTCAGCGGATACCATCTTGCCAAAGGATACACTTAAAATGCCACCTTTTACTATAATTCAAAAATTCGCTATGAATCATTTTTATTGTTCGAAAATCAAATAAATAATTCCTTTCTTTCGTTGAAAATTCTAAATTAAATCTTCAAGGCTGAGCTTTTATTCTCGAAATTGATTAATGTTTAGGAGCTTTGGGAAATAACGAAGTCCCAAGAAACAACGAAGGTTTTCGAGACCGAACAAAAGATGCTCAAAACTTTCCTTTCTTCTAACCAACCAGTTGTATCCATCGCTCAATTTTTTTTTTATATAAAATTTTTGATGTTTTTTTTGAATGAAAACAAATGGCTTCTTAAAAATTGTTTTTTTTCCATAAATTTATTTTTCTATTGTTCCATTATTTGTTTCATAAAATTAATTTAAATTAATTTAAATAAAAAATAATTTTTATTAATTAATAAATTTTTTGTTTAATATATTTATAATTTATATAAGGCGATAAATATTTAATGTATTTCACAGCTTTATAATAAAAATATTTAATTTTTTTATTTTATTTTTAAATTCTTGTATCTCAATAAAGTTTATTAAATATATTTTTTATTAAATGGTAATAGTGCAATAGGGTAATAATGCATTTTTATTTTATGGTAATAATGCTAAAAGATCGATAAAAATGATAAATAAATGATAAAACACATGGAAAATATTCAGAAAATAAAATATTCAGAAAATATTCATAGCCATAAAAGCAATATTATGTTGCATTTATTCGATCTTCTATCGAATAAAAAATAAAAGCCGAAGGATTTCATTTTCAATCTTTTGCAGCTTAAACCATTTACATACGAGTTTAAGATGCAACTTAGGTTTATCTTGATTTTATCCTTTCTTTGTTTTTCTTTAAAAAATATAAAAATCATGCTGTGATTCGATACTAACTCAGCTAACCTCGAATATTTTGGATATAAGGTCTTCATTTCATGAGCTATATAAACCTTAAATTTTAACCTTACGAAATGCTGGTAATCCCAAATCAGAAATTTATACCGATACTGTTACCATTGTTTTTTTTATATCAATCAAAAATTTAACAAAATCACTACACCATAATAAATAATAAAATTTAATAGTGAAATTACATTTTTTACTTATCATACAAGGAAATTTAGCTAATCTATTGTTTCATTAGATAATATAAATTTTTCGACAAATCGTAGAAAAAAATTTAGCGGCGATTATTAAGTGTTTGATAAGCATATGCATAATAAGATTTTCTAGGTAATATAATAATAGAAACATAATCTTCATACAGAATTCATTTGAAACGAGTAGCTCTGAAGGAAGTCGTTTGGTTCAGTTAGCTCTGTAAATTATTCGGTTGAGACTCTTTTAGCTAGAAAATTATTTGGTAATTTTTTTACGTATGGTTCCCAGCGGATTCGAACGGATAAAAATATGAATTTAAGTTCACTTTGTTAGAATTCTTGGATGAGAAGATGAAATCAAGGAACTGGCAAAATTTATTGGTGTATGCATTAATTATTTATCGACTAAAGCAATTTTTGAAAGCGGTTCCATTATGCATCAGCATTTAATCAGTTTTTTTTATCAATAAATTTAGTCGATCTGTTATCGTCTAAAATATATATCATTTTCTACCATTATTGTTCTTGTGGTTCAACAAAAGCCTTAATACAGCCTTAAATTTTTCTGACTCGTTTCTGAAACCACTTCATGGTAGGTATGAAGAGTTTTGCATGAATTTCAGGAACAACACTACAACACAACACAAGTGACAACACAAACTAAAACCAATGCAGATAAGCTAAGAAAGAGCAATATCAGTCTCAAAGCTAATTGTTTCCTTAACGAAAATATTTAGATGTGGTACTTTTAATGTTAATTTTGGAATGTGAAATAGCATACCAGATTTGTTTGAAGTTATAGTCAACTTATGCCGTTTAGCCGATTTACAGTATGAGAGCTGAAACTGTCACTGCTTTCACGATGTTTTACTTTTTTGCCAAGCTTAGATTCCAACAGGTACTTTTCCATCATGATTCGCTTATGCCTTTCTAAGTTAATGTAACTCATA